ATAATTTCGTGGTTGTAATGAGTCGATTCAATGTATTCTGGAGTTGTTAATGATGAACAGGCTTCATATGTATACTAAGCATCTACATGGCGACTCTAATTTGTACCAGTTACACACGGATTGTTAGAAATTTGCCACGTTTTAATTCATTACTCGTCGTATGGCCAAGCTGAAAATGAAGAAGACTTGCCCAACGTGTGGCCGGTGATCAAAATGATGATTGGCTTACTCACAAGTGCGATAATATTTCTTGACATTTATTAATTGTAGTCGGTTGAAGGGCGAACATGATCTAATTGTAGTGGATAGCTAACAACTCGAAGTGTGCCTTACTGGACCCTGTAACTTTATCAACGTGAGAACTTTTGTTTTAATTGCAGACGATTGCGCCAAGTAGCATCTACGCCAATTTGAATTAAGACGTCGTGGATCAGTACGAGACATGCGTGTCACTGTAGCACAGACAAAGGCGCCAATGTGCACAGTCTCATTCAGAGTACTTCTGGAAACAGCGGTGATTGGTGGAATTTTGAATCGGTGAGAAGTAAGGAGTGTCGAGTGAGGTCACTGAATCCCGAATCTTCAAATTGCGCTTTTTGTGCACATTTTTAATAAATAAACTGCGCATATGCCTGGCTACAACTGTCGTTCACCATATCTCGAAGGTAAAATAAGTCAACACAGGGAAAAAGTTAGTTTGCAAAACATTTAAAGTTCATTTTACTCAACAGACATCACAGTAACCAGACGTTTTGCCTAAGCAGTGCCTCAGTAAATTTACAGTCACCATTTCGAGTAATTTATGGTTTAAATGTGGCAACGAAATGTGAGCTTGTGGTGCATGCTGCCGAAACGTCTGTCTGTATTAGAAGTGTGGTGAAAACATTGGACTTGTAGCTCTCTTTTCTTAAAAAAATAATTAATAGCTTCGTTGAATTTCCGATAATATCGGTGAATCTGATCGTCACATAACGGCTTAAGTGATGACCGAAGCATGTTTCAACATTCCACACTAAAATTAGGCATCATCAGAAGTTCCAGAGTTTGGCTGGCTTATTCATTTTCCTTGGATTAAACGAACGAATCAGAACTGGATAAAAAACTTCTTAAACGCTTTGAAATCGGTCCATTTTAAATGCAACCAATGGCAGTACTGAAACCTCACGTCGTCGATCCCACTAATTGCAATCGATCTTGCTTTTAGTGTACTGAACCAACATAAAGCATGTGTAAATCTGTTTCGAATCATGAAGGTTTTGTGTTAGGTCACTTCGAGCAATTTAAATGGAAACTGTAAGTTGATTTACCAAAGTAGCTTAACGGTAACAACACCCTTTAAACGCGACATTTGCTGTATTTTCTTTGCTTCCTGGTTTTTGCAAATTTTAGCAGACTACCACTTTAGTAAGTTACTCCAATGACTCCCCCTGTTGTTTGGACGCGTTATCAAGTCATGATTATCTTCAGAATTGCCCGTTTACACGCTTACAGCGCTACGAGTTTTCAAACAACCAATCTCGGCGTATCTATCTGCTGAGGGAAAACAAAACTATGTAAACAAAGCTCGTTGTCATTGAAGACACAAACATCGTAGGCGGAAAGTTGGAATTCCATCAAGCCATTTGATCTCTGTGCTATTCGCTCAATTGGTCACACCATTAGCTTGATAAAATCTCCACTATACTATTATAAGTTGAGTAGCAAGTAAATATCTGAAGGTTGCAATATTTCAAACACGTTGTTGCCATGACTACAGGGGTCTAGAGCCCGCTTGAAATTGCCAATTTTTAACTTCATCTTGCTGAGCTATACAATATAATTCAAAAACTATAAAATTTTATGTTATGAACAGAACAAATGCAACACGCTATCAGTGTAAACAATACTTGTTTACGGGTGTTCGCTTCTTGTGACGAGGCGACACACCGAGATTGATCACGCGATAACTCGGAACATTAGAAAACGTGTGTGTTGTTCCGAAGAAAAACACCAATTTCTACCTGGTGTAAATGCGAAATAAGACGAATCATGGCCACTGGCTGTTCAAAGTCGATTCAAGCGCCAATCCGTCGGGAGTAAATGGTAAAACAACTGGCCTGACCAGAAACACATAAGAATAATTTAAATGAAGCCCTGTAGCATCAGGATTGATGGAGCCCGGGTTGACCTATTTTACGATAAATTAGTCTCAACGCTATTTAAGTAAAAGGTTTGAAATTTCGCTCTTATTTTTCGTAGTAAATGTGTCTGTCGTACCTGTGTTCTAATACCATCAATGCAAAGCGTGTACTTAACAGGAAGAAGCAAAGAATTGTCCGTGGTATTTCCAAAACTGACCAGATTTTAAGATGTCTTTGAAAGGTAACTATTTACGGTCCAATCAAGCTGTGAAATAATGCTTTATGGCATTTACCATAGTGTCAATTACAGCAGTTTAATGTCATTAAGTGCAACCTATGGACAAATCTGTATTTCGCCTTCCTTTTGAACTGCGAAATGCACAGTTTTGAAGGTTATTTAACCGTTTTGGGAAAGCGCCAGGAAGTTGGTATGGTGGTTGGAGTTTGCGTCCAAGGCAGGAAAAAAATTAAAGTACATAAAATTTTAAAAAAACATGCTTATTAGCTGGAGGACAAAACAGCCACAACTTGCACTGTTCAGGTTTAAGTGTTTGTAAACCGGAAGAACTTTTATGCCAAAATTAGTGGCATTACGTAGTCATTAGAAAATAGGTAGTTTTTGAGTCAAATAAGAGGCCATCTAGGTATTTTTAATTAAACAGCATTTTAGAGTGTAATTGTGATTCGTAGGCAGAAACAAAAGCCATGTTTTGTGCCTCTGGTGGATGTGCTTGCACAAATTTTCCCTCGACTAGGTCAGCCATTTACACCCCTTGTTTGGTTTACCATGACCATCGGGCGTTTTCTGGGTTCCATCACCAACGCTCTCGCCTGGAGAGGATTATTAAAAAAAGTACTCTAGAAACGTGCTTCTGCATCAAGACGTCATGGTGAATGAGTTACTCTGTCTAACGGGCAGTGTCGCCAATTCAACTTCTTCTACAGCCTCTAGTCCCTTGGGCTTCAAAGAAAATAAGAATTTGACGGATCTCTTCACTGATGAATGTAGTTTGTTTCGCACACACATCGTTCCTATTTAAAAAATAAATTGTCGAAATTTTCAGGACACTATTATAAAAGTAGGACTATCGAGTTCGGAAAATTGTGGGCTAGTATTTTGTTATAATTCACAGATTTTGTTCGAATTCAATTTGTAAAGAATTTTTTAATTGAACCTATTAGATTATCCCAATATGGCTTTATAAGGATTCTTAAATGGTTAAACGGTACTTTATCTAGTTCATGCGCCTAATTTGAAAATTTACAACGTAGAAGTGATGTTTGATCATCTGTATTGACAAAATTGTTCTTAGTTTCACAGCTAACAGTACTTGAAAGAGGTGCTATCAAATTACTTTGCTTAATGCTTATTATATAATAACTTGTTGCAAATATTTCGTGATCGATAATAAACAAAGTATCTTGTTTATTTAAAAAAAGATGCAGTAACCATTAAGTAAATATTGTTAGCAAAAATTGAGGGAACACGGATTTAGTAACGTAGCTATGTTCGTTCAGAGGACGAAAATAAAAGACCCCGTTTAAACTGAAGACTTATCACCTTTTCCAGCAAACAGACCTCCTGAATTACGCGTTAGCTATTGCATTCTTTCTTTCTTTTGATCGAGCTTTGTCTTCGAAGGCAACTTAGCCCATGTGCGGTGTGACAACCCCGTCGGGAAATACAGCGGACAAATCATGTCCCAAATTACCAAACCTTCAACGAAAAAGTACCCTTTGAATTAAAGTCATTATTATAGCCTCTAAGAAGTTCAAAAAAGAATTAATAGCAAGAAGTGTCACTTAGTCAAGCGCGTTATTAAATAAAACCACGTTCACTTATGACCTGTGTACCTTAGTTTGAGTAAAATTATAAGAAAATGCTTAATCAAAAATCTCGGCCTAAATTAATCTTATCATAACGTTGCTTTATTTAACAAACAAAATTGCTTTCGTTGCCTGCCAAAGCTTTTAGAACAATTTTTGCTTGATATTTATTTGAAAGAATTTCCTAATCGTATTTTGAACGACAGTGAATTTTCTGATTGAATCATAGCATTTAGCTGTATTTTGATATGCTCCAATGTTAGCTTTCATTATTTACTGAATTTTCAGCGTATTTTTTTTAAATATCCTTGTAAATGATGTTGAATTTGGTTTGTTTATCTTTTCTCATCAATTTGTGGACTGTTTGATAAAGTTTGACTGGTTGTTCGTTACCATTTCCAGTTGCTTTCGGCAGTATATAACCAATCATATACGTTGATAGCTACAAAGTAACATAACAATATTCTCTGAATTATGGGGTATAGATAACTGAGTATGCTCAGTTTCGAAAAAAATCTGTTGTAAATATTTTTGTCTGGTGTACACTAAATGGCCTCTTGTTGAAGCGTTTAAGCTTATATGCACTTTGAGGTACACCTTGTGTTCTGGCCCACTAATTATTAAATTTTAAATGCTAGGCGATGTTAGAGGATGCAAATTAAAGTGCCGAGTTGATGTGGCTTTTATTTTTTCGTTCAGTTTTATGCAAAATCAGAATAACCCTCATAAAGTAGTTAAGAAACATGTCTCTTTTGTGGGCCTCGAATTGTGCATTCTTGCTTTTATTTGTCGCTGCTCTAAATGTGCTCATTGATATCCCATTTGCATGTAAATTGAGGTAATTTATGGCACCCAATCTGTCTGCGTATTTAAGCTTCTACTTAATTTCTAGGCTTTTCCAGCTTTTCGTATTTAGGTCTAGCAGTTGGGCTCAGGCTATTATACTTGTTTCCTTAATACAATCCTCACTGATCTAATTTCAGATAAAAGAAACAAAATTCCCATGGGATAGGATCTCCTTATAAGTTTTTGGATTAATATTTATTTACAAAAATGGATGAGCAGCCTAATTTGCACCCTACTGTAAGTTTCCTTAAAATTTATTTCTCCAATTTTAGTGCTTTATACTAATGCCACATATTTTACGCTGCGATCTTAATTATTCTAAACTTGTGTATTTTGGAGTTTGTGTGGCTCACCGGAGGTTTTTACTCAGGCCGTTGTAATCTCTGTTTGCTCGAAAGAATCCACACATTCAAGTCCTTCTTTCCACTTTTGTAAAAAAAATGTTTTATGATCAATAAGATTAATGGATTCTATGCAGGTAGCTAAAATGCGGCAAAATTCCTGCTAGCCAAACGTTATGAGTGTTTTGGTAGTTCACGTAAACTATTACACAGTTTGTGGTGGCACATAATTCCTATTGTTTTGACAGTAATTTACCGAACGCAAAAACTATTTTTTTCTGGAGATTATCTGCCTAGTTAAGCGTGGTTGTGCTTCGTTTGTCTAGGTGTGGTACTTACACGTAAGAAAATATACTCTCCAGAATCCGAGTCTGATGTGCTTCCATTTCTTAGTGTTTTTTTCCAAACGAAGCTCTAACTCAATCTATCGATGTTTATGCACTTATCTTAAACGAAGCTAAATGTTTCCATTGATGTACTGCCAAAACGTTATAGATTTTTTTGATTGGCTACCCTTTTTGAGATCCGTGGAATCAGGCTTTCCTCCTGTCTCTTCGTGCGGCCCTTTTAGTAGATTGACTTATTCCCCCAACCCGAAACATTTATTTGTCTGTGTGTGTTATTCCAAAAATGGAGGCGGCCTATTGCTGGAATTTAGCAACTACCTATTACTACACTTGCAAAAATACCCAAGTTGCTGTATTATCCCCACTTAAAACCAGTCGATTTGGTAAACCTTACCGAAGGCATTTGTCTGTGATGTAGGCAACCACATTGCTTCATAATCGTTTAACTGAAGTTTATTCCGCCGTAACTTACATTCGATCAGCCCGTCTGTGCTAAATTCTCTTAGATAAACATGCTAGCGTTCAGCTTTAGATATTGCCTGTGACCTTGCCAACCTCGCCTTGTGTGTTTCCTGTGTGCCCTGATTAAGGGAAAAATGATGCAGAATGATGCACTGTATTAGTCAGTTCAAACACCGCTTGTTGAGTTTCACGGCTGTCGGACAATGCCTTTGCTTGACTGCGATCCAACGTCACTATTTGTCTGCAAGAGTTCCACACGACACGCCACATCCCGCCAAGTGAAAATCGGTTGCTTTCATGGCTGTACAGAATCATCTATTTAAATCGAGTTCAGACTACTTTCCCGTGTCGTTGTCGGCTGTACTGCAGTCTCGAAAAGTTTCGTGTTTTTTATGTCTTTAGCGTCAACTCTCCAGTCGCAAGTCGAAGCCCTCCATAGAGGACCTAATCGACCATCATCGGCCGGTTTACTGGATATCCTCGTCTGGGTCTAGCCACGACGGACACATCAATGGCGATACCATCACCGACGTATGTCGCATTTTATCTTCTGCTGAGCCATCATAGGCCCCAACAACTCTTATGCACCATCTAATTGAACACATGTTACCCTTTGTGTAACAGCTCCGTGAAGTGCCAATATTCAATTCGTGTCAATTTTTTACGACTTCCCTTTGTGCCTGTCAAGTGATGGGTAATTTAATTGACTCACACGTCGTGGCTTGTAGTGTCGTCACTTCGTTCCCCGTATCGTCCCTTAGATTCCACTTTTTTCATCGACTCGAGAGACCCTTTTATGGAGTGGTCTTACCACAAACGTCTTTGCGCATAGGGTTGCTTGTAGCTCAAGGTCGATGGTTGTTAGGCCAGTTAGCAACGTACTCTAATCACTGCCCGACCTTAAGAAGATGGTTGGAGCAAATGCCAAATTCTTCTGGCTTTTGTTCGCTGCTCTAGTTGACAGTCGCACAACTACATTGTACACTGATAGAGGTAGAACTATCGTTTTCGTTTCCTTTCCACTACTGTCGTCGCTTACGTCCGTTGCTTGGATGAAAGTAGTCATTTTTCGAACATACAACCCCCGATATGCCTTCGTGTTAGAAAATAAAGCTAGCCTCACCAACTGAAAACAACGTCATACGAATAATCACCGACTAACGTGGCTAACACCGCTAGGGGTTCACTGTGGGGACTTGTTCTTTGGTCCGCGTCTTTTGCAATCCCGTGTGTGTGTGTTGTTGTAGCCCATGCGTATCCGAATACGCGTGTCGCGACTGGACGCAGCCGCCGTCAGCCAAGTCGGTGGGTCCACTTCGGCCGCGAATCGACAGTCCGCCGCACCCGCGCTCAACTCCTCTGCGTCCGCGCGGTCGTCGCCGCCGCCACCCTTTGTGCGCGACTCCGACCCGCTCCGACCGCCCGTCCAAAATGGGGTAAGGCTGTTTGTGTTGGAGCCTTAGTTGGTTTTTTCCACTTAAGCTTAACCGTCTCGTGGATATGCGCGGACATTTTGAGCCACCACGATGACACTTCAGCCTCCGTCTCAGTTGAGACTTGATTCTGGGCGACGTTGCGTAGGAATGGAAGAATGTACCTGTGGCTTGCTTACAAACGACGTGAATACCGTGACTTCACTACACGTCAAACACATTCGTGTCTAGAAGGATTTGCAAACACCCCTATGCATTGGGCGAATCTATCCGTAGGTGTGGCATCTACTGAAATGAGTTGATTTCAATCTTGCTATCTGCTAATTAGATTCAACTCAACCTAGTCTTCTTTCTCGAGTCAATCAGCACCGATGATCCCAAGAGTCATTAATCGCCCCCCAATGTTTGTGGGGAATCTGAAGGGTGTCATGAACTATGGGTTACTGGCGCAACATCCCATTGTCACATTGTCAATAGGAAGGACTCTCTTGGCGGTAGAAGACAATACCGAACCTCACCCTGTAGTCGAGACTCGGCAGAGCGGTTTTTACGTGACTAGCGTGTCTGCGAACCCCCCGTGTGGTCCTATCCCTGTTACCTTTCCGACAAGGAAGTTAGAATATGCTCGTCGATGTAAATGGTGCATGTATAGCGCGCTAAACGTATTCCTCATTTTAATGACTGAAATGGCGAAGCTATTTTCGGAAGTATAAAATGCCGTGACTAGTGGTTCCCAAGCGCACTCTAAACTCCAACTCGCACCCTGTTAATGCCATATGCCATGACTGCGAATTTCGCTAGATTTGGAGGTTATTCCAGTGCTTTATGCTTGTGCCACTTATTGGTAAGAATAATCAGGTGATTTTGGTCACCTCTCACAATTAAAGCTCGTGTGGATCATGGGACGGAAGTTCTTTGATTAATTAGCGTTTCTAGTGCCATTAAATTTGAGGTGCCGGGTAGGACAACAGCCGCTCACGAATATTTACTAAAGCATTCCATTAAGGACACAACTGTAGTGTGTGCGTCAGTTCATAAAATTTGCACATAACGGTTCTGCGCATTAGTAGAGTAACATCATCTGTTGGCAATTTTGTGAGCATAATTGTAGGGTCACGCAAAACGGCCAGTTCTCCCTAAACTAGCAGGTGTAATAGATCAAGGTCAGTTATTCGGTATTTTCAAGTAATTAGCGGCTGTTTATTCCAGAATGACGTGCACAAGAAGGCCTCTGTCACACGACACACCAGATACCGCTCTCAGTACTGTAGAGACCAGTTACTACTCTAGTTAAGAAACTTCCTAATGGCACTTCATAACTAGCTCTTTGTGGCAAAAGGGCAATTTGAGTGCCTCGCTTAACTGGTGTACCTTCACGGACGGTCTTCTCATAGTAAGTACAAAACCATTGTTCGGTTTATTAATTCACATAAACACCTGAGTGCATATTTGTAAATCTAAACAACGCGCCCAACGGGAATGTCCTTCGTCACGACCTAGTTGACGTGAAATAAGAAGCTAGGCAAGAAACCCAAATCGCTGCCTGCAATATTCATGAAGACAATCCAATAACGCGTATTCTTTTGATATGCGCCGGGTTTTAGCTGCTTGGAAGCGTTCAATTGGATGTACCTGTCTCAATGCTTTATACAACAGCTACTTGACCCGAATACTTGCTGATATTCATTTTGTTTCCTCCGATTATCGAAATGCAAAATCCCACTGCCAAGTCAAATAAAGTTGACATGAAGCGCCAATAAAAACAATTTTGATTTCATTTAAGGGCCTCGACGCATGGATGCACTTAGGATCCGAAAGTGAAAGTAGCAGCGATAGCGATGAAGAGGAAGACAACCTGCCGTTGTCGGATCTGTGCAAACGAGTGTCCACGACGACGGAACAGCCTTCACCACCGCCCAAGTCCCGTTGCACAGCCTCCATGTGCGAACGCCCTGCTTTAACATCCGACAACCGTTGGGACGGTCAATTCTGCTCCTCCGACTGTCTCGTCAAGGCCTGTCGTGAGGCCTTTGATGCTATGTTCCAAAACCATCACCACTACCTGACGCCAGCTTTCGAAAACCCCGCTAGTATTGTTTCCTGATCAGGGTCCACTAGCTTTCTTTATTTTTCAACTCTGTATATACATGCTGCTCGAATGCGTTTACGCTGTTCCAATGTGCTGCTAAAAGGGTGGAGTCGGCAATGCACATATTTTAGGATGATAAGAGAAATATTTAGCATGCAGAAAAGCGGTCTCAGTTATTAGGCGACCTGATTTGCTGAGTATATATGACCAAAACGTGAGAAACTATTTGATCAAAGCGTAGGAGCATCGAAGAACCATGAGTAAGCTAAGCAGTAAGTGTGTAATGCGGTCGTTACCTCAGAACACAAACGATTCCCGCTGGCATGAGCTTCCTCGTGTTGTAGTAACGCACGGCCATAATCAGTGCTAGCAATGCACTTCCACCTAAAAGGTACAATGACCGTTAGGGGTATTACCTAGCAGACAGTTTGCGTCCCCGGGATTTTGCCCCAATTTATAGGAGCCGATGAGGAGAATGACGCCAAATGCTACCCCTGACACCAGTGACGGTAAACTTCCTGGAAGCAGCAGTTACGACCGGCAGGTCACGTACCAGCTTTATAATAGCCATAAACACCGCCCAGTATAATAAAGAGTGCATAGCCGAGACTTAGCTGGTCAAACATGACCTTCAAGGGAGTTCAAACCGTGCGCTTGTTATTAGAGTCATCTAAAACAGATTATCCAGGGTCAGCCTCTGCAGAAGCATTTATTTGGTTAGCTTAGTCATAAAATTTGATGCTACTGAAAATAGCGTAATGCCATTCGCTAATGCAGATTAGTTTGTGTGATTTATGCACCACGTATTCCTTGACAAATCGTAAAAAAAGTGGAATTTGTCCCTTAGTACCAGTATAAATGGGTCTTATGGCAGTATTATCTATCAACACAGTGTAATTTGCATTAATTTGAGTACTAGAATTACTAGGGGGAGAAGTTCGTGTCCACTTAATCACACACGTAAGTCTTGCAAACATTCAAAAGATGGTTACCTCATTTACACTCATTATGATCCTTCTTAGTCACTTTTATTTCTGTTCTTCTCTTCATTTAAAAATTGTAATTAGGCGTTCTAGTACATCATGTAAAGATATTAAAAATCGACTTGTGCTAGAATCATTTGTTGTGTTGTAACAGCAGTTTAAAATCGTCCGCTTTCTATTTAGTTATGCTAAGTCTGTTAATAATATCCACAGGTAATTTTGATCTAGTGACTTTGTCAAAATTGCAACTAATAAATAAGTAAAGCTTTTTAGTTTATGAAATGCAAACTTGCGTATGACGAGTTCTGTCTTTCTTTGTTTTTATTTGTATTACAATATCGGAGCTGCATTTGCAAGCACGAACTTTCAAGAAAATGCGTTCGTTAAAAACTGCGGATGTTTTCCAATAGGTTCTAATATTGTGCATACTTTGATAGCGCTTTCTAGTCAGCTACTTAGCACAAGCAAGACTACGAGAGCCTAAATATCTTTCAACGGTATTAATATACTTTTGTTCAATATTGAAATGAGTACTTATTAGCATGAGTATTTTAAGCATACTAATTTCGTTTCAAATAATGTAGTCATTTCGATCTCTAGGTTCAAAAAAGTCATATTCTGGCCATAGTAAATTTGGGTTTTATTGGAATGTTTCATTTGGTGCACTTTAGTTGGCCCACAATTGGCATCAATTACATAACAAATGTGGATGCAATCAGAGCATTAAGCTTCAGACACTTATCTCAAGTTACTGAACTTCATTCCGCTTTAGTTTTTATGGGTAAATAGGCTTTCAGCCAAGAATTTATGCACCAATAGAAAAATCACTGATAAATTCTGTGCTAAATTAAGACGTTTGACTTCATAACCTTAGCATTACTAACAATAATCCAAATTTTCATCGAAAAATCTTTACACAAAAGCCCTTTTTTAAGGCATTATTTCAGCAGTTATGTAATCGATGAAAAAATGAAACCAATTTTAGCATCTTTACGCCGATTTTATATTGTGTTTAAGAATTTATTCCACTCAGCGTCACTATAATGATTTGGTAGAAAACTTAGTCTTTATTTTGGCCTTCATTTGAATGATTTGAAACAAACACAGCATTGAAGGGTAAAGCTGGTATGACACGTCTAAATCCACAGGTAATCCGTGGCACTATCGTGCAAAAAAAGGTTAAATAAGTATCGACAAATGCATTTTGGTCGCGCAAATTCCATTTTTTACTTTAAATATGTTTTCTTTTACCCTCATTTAATTTCTCATGAATAAGTTGCGAATAAGCAATGAGCAATGTTTGTAAGTTGCAACGCCATATGCATAAACAGGATTGAATAAATTATCTACTTATGTGAAGCTGTTCTGAGTTACCGCATTTCACAATCGTCTACAAAACTATTATCACTTTTCTATGGAAAAGGTTTTTTCAAACCTGTTCACGTATTTATTCGTAGGCACCATGTGGTCCAAGTTTCAGAGGCCCGTGTCATTATTGTTCTCTGTATGTACCAAATTATTCCAAAACAAATTTTTAGACAAACTTTAGCATCTGATTGTAACTGACTACTGTCATTTTGAACATAATGTACCACCTAAGCCATTATCCTTTTTTTTATTTTTCAGGTGAACTACACAGAAACCCACTTTCAGACCCAAACCTCAAGTATTCCGTCCCCGTAGATTAATGCCTTAAATTTTTGTCAACACTTGTTCAAAAATTTTCTTTATGCGCAGCATTAGTTAATGTGATTCCTTAGTGGAACAATACGTGAAACACAAGGCTATTTTCGTAAAGCCTAATGCTTATGGAAAGCAAACCTTGTTAAGTTTTAAAAACAAAATTTGATTATAACCTGACATACAATTGGTGAACTCTGACATGTAAATTCTACAATCCATATTTTGAACGATTTTTTTTACCAGGAGGCGGGAGTTACGTCTTATTTACCGCCCTAGTAGATTTCGTAAATATGATCTAGCACACACCTCATTTGAAATGCGTTTCCGCTTCTTCGTTCCCACTCGTAGTGTGGGCCACATTTTTTATTCCGATGGCGTGCACATCCTTGTCACCTAAATATGGCAGAATCTATCTCACGCTTTTAATTTTGTACTTTATCAACAAAAAATGGGTCATTCAGTGCAGAGATTTATTGACCTACAAAACTATTGCAAATGTTATTAGGTAAATCACCTTGTTGTTAACCAATTTGATTCGAATATGCTAGAGGTTGATATTCTAATAACTTCAAAATTCTAAGCAAACATCGACAAGTTTTAAACCCATTAGGAAATCACTAATTTCTGATTTAATATTGTGATTTCAGGTAGTTTGGGGCAGTTCTTGTACTGGTCACTTTCTGGATTCAAAAATACAGATGCCAAAATTACTTCCAAACCTATCTGTTTACGCAGCGTCCTGTCATCAACGTCGTATATAGTCATCGTCAACTTGGCGGAATGAAGGAGATCGTTGAGCTCGCAAAGGTGATGCACATGTTATCTGCAGCATTTAGACCAATCAGCAGTAAAAAGGCAACGTTGGGCTTTTACAGGGTGGTTCTCAGTAGTTCATTTATGGCCAAAGTCTGAAGAGGGCAGATGTCCACATAGTTGGCCGCAGCCTGTCCGCTTGTGGTCACGCCAGGTGGCACGGCCGCCGTGGCACTCGACGCAAGCGTGTTCAGGCCATCGCCAACGGACCGGACCAGAAGCCTGGAAGGTCGTGGTCGCGAACGCACAGACGACGTCCGCGTCAGGACGCTGCGGTTGCTCGAGGGGACAAGGACGCCGACCGCCGCCACATTCTGCACAGAGCTCTGACCTGAGTGGGGCGGAGAGGCAGCTGGCGGCTGGAATTCGAGCAGGGCGTAATTTATCGTCGAGGCCTCATTCGGGGTGTGGAGTTCAAGGCAGCTTTCAACGGCCGATCTGCTTGGCGACCTCGGTAGGTCGCCATTACTCTGAAGGAGGGTCCTAACGTTCTCGTACGTCCCCACTCGTATAACACGACCTTGTGGCGTGCTCGACTACAATGTAAAACAGCCTTGCTCAAACCCACATGCTATGTTGACTTATAGACCGGTGGAATAGGCTCTGTACTAAGCGCAGCCCAGTAGGTGCAGATTTTTCTGCAAATTTATTTAATGGAATAAAAGACAACAAAGTTAATCTTGAGAACACAGTCCTTCGTTTTCTATGACCTTGCACCATCTCTCAGGGAACATACGAATGCCGTAGCGAAGTAAAATTGCAGGCTTCGAGGCAAAAAATACATCGACGAATTTAAGCACATTGTCCGGGGTTTGGAATGGGTTATCCAATAAAACGTGCTGCTGCATTGACCGAAACAAATGGTAGTCGGATGAGACCACGTCTGGTGAATGTGCCCCTCGTGAGGAAGAATTTTCCATCCCAAGTTGAAGAGAGTCTCCTGAACCGCGCGAGCAGCGTGAGGTGGTGAAGAGTTGTCGCGCAACAGCAGAATGACCTGTCTGCCTTCTTCTTCTGTAGATGGCCTGTTCTGAATCAAGTGCCATACTCAGTGTGTTCAACTCTCGGTCGTAGCGTTCCCCCCGCAACCGTCCGATCAGTTTTCTGGCGTTCGTAATAAATAACACCCTTCGCGTCCCACCACATACACAGGAGAACCTACTTCAAGTGGATGTACCGTTTAGGCGTCTGTATCTGGGATGTACCCACAAATTTCTACGTTTGGGATTGTCGTAAGAAGTATACTTTACATCACCAGTCACAAGGTTCGCTGCCTGCTGGCAAGCAGTGAAAGGCATGTGTTCATACGTTTAGCTAGGTTGTGTTTGGTCAACATTTGTGGGACCCAACCTCCAAGTATTTGAATTTGCCCCATTTGGTGCAAGCGTTTAGAAGTAGCTGTTTAATGATTCTTAATTGAGCTACTGCAAATTCCTATTGCGTTTGCGCTGAGTCTTCATCCAGTAGACCTTGCCTTTTCCCATCTTCAAACTTTAAGCACTGCTATCCTGGGCGTGGCTGGGCAAAAAAACCGAAATCAACACTTCTGAAACGTTTTAACCAGTAATTACACGTTTAATAAAACACAACTTTGGAACCAAGATCACTGCAAATCGGTTCCCGTGTTGTAGAAGCATTTTTTGCTTGTTGGAATCGTATAAAATGCAGTCCCATCGAATGATCTCTTGATCAGCTGCCATCGTAAACTCTACTATTCTGAGAGGCCGTGTAATTCACACAGACTTGTAGTTCGGTGCTCTGGAACCTTGCGTCCAATCCTTTCAGAACCACAAGTGGCCACGAAAATATCACTCGATTAAAAGGCAATTTTACGCTCAAATTAAGTCATACACCGAACATTTCTGACTTGGAATTCATGTACATAGAGGCAAAAGTCAACATGCGTAATCAAGACGCTTTTACGTGCCCAAAGCACGCGACACTGAAGTTAAGATAACTCGCTATGTACGAAATACCGGCTAGAAAGTTCTCGTTAAGCAAAGCAATGCGAATGAAGTGGATGCTTCCCAGAAAGTCTGTTTTGTCGTGGCAAGCTTTGTCCACCGAATTTGCATCGCGCCATCTCTCGTCTCTGGGCTTCAATAGCTGCATTTTCAATGTATAAACTGGGACCAATCATGGATTAGCTTGATGAACGGCTCAATTAAATTCCTGTATTTTTGTTTCGTCTAAGTATCTCACGAACTAGAAATGGTAACATTCAAGAGATCGTCTTCTGGTACACAAACGAGCTACCCATTGGTGTATCAAAGTTAGCATTGACTAACAAATGCTACTATTTGTCGAACAGTGAACAAGACTGTGTCTAGTTGTAAATGATTCAGTGATTACAAAAGAAGTGCTAAGCTAAAACGTTGTGAAAACACCAACTACGCGAATGTGTAGAAGGTTTCATCTGTCGACATAAGCACCAAACAACCACCATAACATTTGCGCAAAATGATTGCCTCTATGATTAGCATGACTTGCTTTTAGCGCTTTTTTAAATTAGGTGATTGTTTTGCATAAAAATGCGTGACAATTAGCGCCATCTACTACTCTCCTTAGCCCAAATCGTAGCTTTTTTTCTATATCAAAGTACCGGTGTCACGGGAACCAGGTCATTTGTCGCGGGGATCAAGTCGGCTCCTGGGGGAGGAGGTGGCGGCAAGCATCCCACTTGCCACTCCACGTCATCATCATCATCTTCATGATGTATCAAGGGCTCCTCCGCCAACACGCGAGCCGTTTCCTCCTCAGATGACTCAACCAAGTGTGACCATGAGCGACTGAGTGGTTGCGGAAGAGGCGGGAGGTTGACATAGGCTTGACTGTCGGTCACTGATGCTGGTGGCGGTGGTGGGGCGGTAGGAGGAGGAGGGGGTGGAGGAGGGGGGATGGAGGGCGGAAACAGGCGGCATGGTGCGGGATAGCAGACTGCCGAAAGCGTCTTTAAGGCCCTGGTCCGCTTGTGAGACTTAATGTGTGCCTAAAGGCCGCAAAACAGGGAGGTAGACATTTTCATTCCTACAAGGATAGGTGTGTATTCAGTTGAGCATTCACCTCGAGGGTTTGCCGAAACTCGCCAATGTCCTTGACACGGAACAGGTAGTGTCCCTCGCCGTGGGGCGCGCGTCTGCCTGTCTCCATTTTGAAGAGGCAGCCACGAAAAGCGAATTGTCGGAGAGTGGTCAGTGGCCAGTCTAGCCGCAGTGTCTCGGCGCCGTCTTTGGTGTCACCTGCTGTAGCAGTCGAGACATGATGATACGTGGCGCTGAGGCCCCGAGCTGCGACATCCGCTTGACCTGAGCTGCAACCTGTGCTGACGCCTTCGAAGGGGTTCCGACTAAGCACAAAGCAGGATCTTTTAGCAGTTTTTAACAACTCAGTTGCAAATGACGCAGGAGTGTACGAAGAAGGTGGGGCGAATTATGTGGAACTATTCTCAGTGAATGTGTCGGTGGGGCGCAAGAATTGAGGGTTAAGCAAATGGATCTTATTTATTCACGAATTCCAATCCATGCCTCACTTGTCAAAACAGAGGCCCTTGAAACAACGCATGTGGTGTGTGGTGGCTTGGAATTTTTTTTAAACAACGCGGAATGTTAAGTTGGAAGTAATTGTGTCCAATTACTGTGCACGCTCACGCACGCACGCACAACAGCCTGGTACTGTGTGCGTGCGGTGGGCATCGGATTTATGGTAAAGGTTGCTTCAAGGCGCCCTGTGCAAAGCCGTGTTGGAGCTGGTACGAGAAAGAAGTTGGCGGTGGTACAACGGAGTGGCTGAGGCATGAAACCGCAGCAATAGCGGTGGGAGTGTGCTGGCCCCTAGGCCGTTCGCACCAGAATAGACCACCAGACCCTGTCAAGTTTGGTCTGGAACACACGCAACACGACCATTTTGATTAGAGATAAAGGGCATCTTAGTTCTCACGACGACGATCACTAAAGTTGAACATGATTGGTTCAAACAAGGTCGTCCCCTGTTGGAGATGGTTTCAGTCACGACCCGAGTAATTTAAGGCATCCCGTTACTCGCCTTCCATTGGTCCATTTAAACTGTGATGCTTGAATCCCAAGAGCACTTATAACAGTGTTAAATTTGCAAATAACACCAATACTTGTCACGTATGTACATCTTGTTGGGACATCTGAACTTTTGACATAGGAAATTGAGCTAAACGTTTATACGAAGGGAATGATCATAACGATTGTGTTCTTTATTCCTCCAAAAATGGATAAACTGGTTTGAAAAGAGGCTGATTTAAAAGCAAAATAAGCATAAGACAACCAAATCCGTGTTTTTCCCCTCAAAATTAAAGGCATTCGGGTATAGGGAATTTTCATGCGAAAGTTTGACACCGTCGAGATAATAACGCACCGTGTTCGCGATAAATACGCCCACGCACACACAAAGGCATCTGCCTTGCGTCGTTGGCAATAAATTCCCCCAACCGAAGTCAGTAGATCACTTGTCAGAGCCGTTGCATCATGGGCTGACCGCCGTGATTTGAGTGGATTTTAAGTGCCGCAACAAAAGGCGCCATGTTCAGTGTTAGACTGTGCCAGTGGTGGCAAATAATCGTGCACAATCGAGGCGGACAAATATGTACATTCAGTGGAGTTTAACTTTCCCCTGGGATAAGCCTCTAGAGGCTAAGTTTAGATGGATTTTCAAGGATAAAATCGTATAAGCTAGCGGTGAATGGAACCTAGACTTAGTGGAGACCGTTTGTTGGTTGACTTCTTCTAGATCCGACAAAGTAGTCGCGACCTCGTTTCGCGTTTTGGAAAACGATTTTTTTTCCAATAAAAATTCCTTGTTTACGACTGCATGAATGGCATTTTGACTCCGGGACGGTAGTGAAAACAGCTCCGTTCAAGTTTTCGTCCCGGAGTACAGCACTCTCAAACCAAGGCGTCAATCCGACAACCGTGAATGGCAACGCAGAGGTTTGTAGAAGAGCTTGTTTTCTTAGTAGACACAATAAAGTTGTTCTTTTTTAAAGCGATCTCAGGCTTATCCATAGTGGATTACTCACAAAAACTGCATTTTCATTCTGACTTGATTAAGGACCTGTTAGTCTCTCGATTATGCTTCTGCTGCCACACGAAGAGTAGGTTATGCGAAACCGTTGGCAAGAACAACGCATCGATGGCACTTTTAGCATTTTTGAAGCATTTCAATTGGCGAAGTAGAAGTTTCGTTGGAAAGCGCGTAACGCGGGAGAGTGAGAGCCAATGCTAGCAAGTAATCCAATTCGGTTTCTGCAAAAAGGCAGCCCAGAGATTGTTTTGACGGACTTCTTTCAGCATCACGATTTTCGGTTATTCACCTTAAAGGGTACTATTTTTGGCTTACTTCAAAAACAAACTACGCATCATTGTTTTCGGCTGCTTGTTTTGGGGCTGCTTCCAAAATAGGCATTTTCGGTGCATTTGTGATGAACGCAGTTAACAAGCGTGAGCGAAGACGACTCCTGTGTTCGGTTGCTGCTCGCCACGTATTCCTGCTTTTCTCTATTCTTCTTCTTCTTCATTTACTTCCATAAAGCCCAGGTAGAAACTGAGAATTGCAACACAAACGGGTCGAACTACCAAAGTCGGTGAAAGAGTCAAGGCCGTTTTTTAATCGAATCGTGTCATTGATGCGTTCAAACGCAAGCGTTCAAGTCTCCGTGCGTCCGATGATACGGGGACAGCATAATTAATCTAAACACACTTTGAATGATATTTAGGTTTTATTCCACATTAAAATTGTTTTTCGGAATCTCTGAAATCCCTAATCTGTGTTCAACAGTTTTCCTTTGTTAAAAAATAATTATTATGGAAAGTATCTTATAATGTTTTCTCCTAAATTGTTCTAATTCACCAGTATTAAAGTGCAACACAGAAAGGATTCAATAACTCAAAGTGCTGTGGAGAAGGTGAGTTGGTGTCTTGGCGTCTTCCACCGCCAGATGACACAATTTTGAATAGAAAAAAAAGCCCTCGATCGCCTGAACACTTTCCTGTTTTAGCATTCAAGTACGATGAATCATCAATTAATAACACCCGGTATTGCGTATTTGGAGAGATGACAGCTAGTCATTCTGGTCGGTCATTTGCCCAAAAAAACCGACAACAAAAACGACTGCTAAAGTACACACAACAAAACGTCTATCCACTATTAACGAGAGAAGTGACTGTCCCAGATTGAAGAATCCCTTGAATCGTTCGGACAAAGTCCAATAATATCCCACTAGCTATAATTCCCACAAACTATTTCGTGTTCCTGTGAACACGTTAAATTAGGAATGCGCCGCAAGGCAGTAAAAAGAGCAGATTGCCTCCATCAAGCTCAAGCAACTGGGGACGTTAAATTGGTAAGTAACGCTTTTTTAAACAAGTGTAGACACAATGACAGGCAAAAGCGTGGGATTGTGCAGACGACAGGGCTTAATCACTCCCAAGAAATACACCGAAGTTAGCCCTAAAGCAGAATGGAATTTAGTGCTTTAGGGCAAGTGGACGGACATGGGAAAACCCACGGCACGGCATGTTGGGAGCGCGACGTTGGAAAAAAATTACGATGTTGTGTAGCAATTGTTGGGAGAGTTAAAGTCGCCTCTGTGACATTCCACACTGTCCGATGCTGTGCAGAGGGCTGGATTACGCTGCGATTGCGATGGGCGTGTGCTTGGTTTGGTTTGGCGTTGAATGAAGCCATTCAAGGCAATTCTAATGGCTGCCTTATTGGTCTAGTTGCCTTTACGAACAAAAAACCGAGTGCAGGACGAACAAAGCATATTGTATTCCAGGCTGTCGATTGTTATTTTGGAAGAAATGACAGGAAGTCATGCATTGCAGTTTTGACCAGCATCAATCTGACTCACTTTTACAAATGCTGGCGTTGGGCCACATTTTGAAGGTCATTTATCGTAACACGGCCAATGAGAACACAGAACCGATGATCTCTGGCTATAATGGAAGGTCAGTCCTGGGGAGGCGATAAGTTATCTTTCTTTCCTGGAATTGTATCGGCTTTGTCTTGAGCAAGAGTCAAAGATTAATTACGTTTTGGCTGAAGACGATTGCCGTTTGTGACCTGCCATTGGTCCACACACACAGATGTCCCCAAGTACCCGCGCAAAGCCCATTCGCACATCGTGTCCAGCAGGCCAACAGACGGTTGTGTTCGCCATCTTTGTAGTCGTGGAATTTCAGGGATGTCAGCGATAATAAAAATTATTGTGAGGCAGCTACTCATCCCTCAAGACTTGTTAGTCCGTTTCAGCTTAACTAAGTCTTCAAATGAACTCAGTTTTTCTGCCCCACTGATTTTTTCATTTACTTGGAAGTTGAATACAAACAACGTGAGTTAACAGGTCTTTGAGTAAGTCAGAAGGCTCTTTTATCCCAAGAGGAGTGCTTGATCTAGTTAAATCGTTGACTTTTCATTCGGCTATGTTCATGAGTCATTAACCATTGGGAGGTGTCTGATTTGGTAGCAGTCTCTGTGCGTAAGCGATCCGACGAAATGGCCAAAAACGGCGAAATTCAATCAGTATGCTTCTAACTGGGAGCCGAGCCGTCGGAAACTGCTGTTTGCCGACATCGCTACCAGACAAAACTGTGAGAAGACAGTTAACATGAGACACAACCACTGCGTAGCATTGGCAAAAAAAGCGAAAAAAAATGTCTACACTGTCGTAGACAGCAACCCGTTGGTTTCGGCATTTAGCATAGCAGGAGGAGTCATGTGGGATGCGGGGGAGGGCTAGTGATGACAACCAGACTCACTTCAGGTCAAAACGACAGCAGAATGTCACGGGCGACTAAGTGTAACCCCAACTGCGAAGTGGAAGCACTTCGTTGTTGTGATTTTGCCTTGGGGAAAAAGTCCCTCCCATACAAAAGCGAAGTCAAGTGGGTAAGGACCCTCAAGGGCCGCACGCATAAGCCTACTTGGCATGAAAGGAAGCAGACAGCATTGCAATAGCCATTCGTGAGACAAGTGCCCAATTAAGGAGACTTTTGCATATCTCAGGTCAGCGTAAAGACACTACTAAGACGGATTTCTCTGAAAGGAGCTTCTACTGCGATTATCATGGATGTGAGCGTGCGGGTTTTGTATACACTAAAATGGTACTGTTAACTGATAGTCTGGAAATAAAGTGGCTAAGCTGTATGGAATGGGGGTGCACGTGTCAAAGATGTGATAGCCTAACAGAATATTGAGGAAGGGAAGGTAGGACAGGCAGAAAACAGGCTAGGAAAAACAGCGGTGATGGCCACATGCAGGCTCGACAAGTGGCGATTTACGGTTGGCGTGTGAAGTGGTGGTTTTGCAAAAAGAGCATTTTGCGAAGCAAACAGGCAGTGCCTAGGCGAGAATGGCATTTTTCGCCGAGCAAAGAAGAGAGAGAGGGGGGGGGGTTGTGGGTGGTGCAGTGTTAGCCTGTCAGCCGCCTAACGATGTGACCTGGTGTGTTGTGCAAAAAGGGACATGAGGGTGCTGACTGAAACCAGTAGGAGACAACGCGACTGATCATCAGTCATTCACTCGTTTTTCTCGTGAGGCACGCGCTGAATCACATGCATAGCATTGGGCAAATGTAGCATGGGTGTAGTGTTCTGCCCAAGCCACAGTTTACTCTTTGTTTGCAAAGTTCTAGGCCAGTAATTAGGTTTTATTTTATGGAGCAGGAGGATTAAGTTGATGGTCCTTTAAGAGCCCCGAGCTAAAGAAACAGCTGGAAGCAATTCAACAGTTGAGTAGCCGAAGCTTTCTGTAAGGTGCTATTGGTATGGATAGAGGTAGATTGGAGACACCCCGTATACGAAAATGCTGCATACTTGATAAAGCCAGGACTTCAAAAAAAACCTGGACTTGCGTGGTGTTTCAGAAATCGTTGGCTTACATATTGTAGCGATTTAAATACCATGTTTAAAATAATTACTACCGTCGATTCATAACTAGCCAAACACATGCGTATATCCCTCTCAGGCCAAAAGCAATTGAAGTTTCTAACTTGAAAATCAACGTAAAGACCTTGTCTTAACAGAAATGAGACGAAGTAGGACATAGGTAATTTTTTTTAGTTTTGAAACCATGTAGTTGGAAAAAGAAATAATCTAAGTATCCTTCAATGTTTTTAGAAATAACTTCGTTGAAAATTTAAGAAATATCATTTATTAAATCACCGATGGCAAACGTTCTTGTTAGTAATTTAAAGCTAGACACGCTTAAGTGGTCACCAGCACTTAAGCAGGCTTTGATAACACTTTATAAACACTTCGGCAATTTAAGTAGGAGTGTGGTGAAGCTTGAGAGGTTATGTAAGTTGCGACCTGTGGCAAACTCGTGATATGAGTTACATCAAAACTGGTTACTTAGTAGGACGCAAATCAAATTTCTCCACAAATGAAAACTTTGTCTTGACTTCAAGCCTGCTTCTACTCTGACAAGCCAAGAATGCGTCAGAGTAATAAGGCTGTTTATAAAAATTGAAGTGAAATGAAATCAACCTCAGCTACTACAATGGAGGAGCCCTGCATGGGAACGTGGATTATAAATAGCAGATCCAAACCTTTTTATTCAGATAACCATTTAAACATTTTATGTCCCCGAAAAATATAAATTAATACCTTTCCTGTAATACCCACACACTAACGCTTAAAAAGTATTGCCAAATCGAATTAGGAACTCACTTCTGTTTTGGTTTTTTTGAGAGTAATGTAGTCAGAAACTGCTTGAGACCACGTTTCCGCAGCGATGAAGGACTGGTCTCACCAATACAAAGTTTTCTGTTTTCGTGGGTAGAGAGAAGAGATTGACAGGAGAAGTTGGATCTATTTCCTACTGGCCAATAAGACAGATCGGGAATAGTCCCCGAATTCAGAGGATCACAGGTCAACATACATTCTAAATCTAGAACAAAATTGAAACAAAACATATAATTATTTGCATGATCATGTTACAGACAAGAAAGTACACAAACATACAGCTATGCTGAGAAGTCTTTTGCGCAGAAAGACTAAGAATGTCCGAACCACCAGGGCCACCTAAATGCGTAGGAAGTTTCAAATGTACATCTTTTGAGGAAAATACAAGACGCCCCTTTGAACAAATAAGTACACCGGGAATCCTACATGCCTCCAGTTGCATGTGAGGACGATTCGGCCCTGTTAGCATTCTGGTAGGTAGCTCAGGAGAAGTCGTTTTGTGTAACGAGGCCGAAGATACAACTTTGGACCCTACATGAAGAGAGGAGCTGGTTTTCCTGGTGGACCGTTGTGGAAGTGTCGTTGTAGGTGCCCCATGAGTCGTATTTGTATGTAGATACACAGGATGCACATTGAATTGTTGAGTATTTGAAGCATCGCAGGTGACGTGTGAAGGGAAAATAGTCTCACCTAAGTGTTGATTGAAAGGAAGCTTGCCCAACCAAATCCCACACAATTCTGCGTTAAAAGCAAGCCGCTTTGTTAAAGGCTGTTCAAACTGAAGCTCGGTTAACGGATAACTTGAAGTCTGGTGTGCGCAGTATCGTAAACACTCCATCGGTAAGGGAAAAATGAAAGTGGAAAACAAAGTTAACAGAAGGTCAGGACGCTGAAAAATGCGTTGTGCATGAAATTGTTATACCAAATGGCCAAGTTTGAATTAAAAAATCATATAAAACGATTGCACAAAAAGCCCCTTGGGAGAAAAAACAAATGTCGATAACACAACATGACGCTAAAATGCGTTCAAAGTCCCTGATATTATAAGAAATGATGCCTTTAGTTAATTAAAACATTATGCATCGTTGGTAGACAAGCTAAACGCTATGTACTTTTTATTTAATGATGCTACATTACTAACATTAGAAAGTTGCTATTTTACTTCGTTTCCTTACTTTTAGTTCAAAATGTGTCATTAACTGTTCGTGTTAATTTAATTTAGTAACTAAATTAAGCTAAGTCAGTTTACAAAACATGTTAAGAAAAAGCGTGATCAGTGGTCCGAAATTCGATGCTTCATAATTATTTCGGATATATTTTTGGTTCTAAAAGAGTTTGATTTCAGCTATCCCAGCATGTAAAGTTGAGGCGATTCCGCTGAGAGTCTTTAGAGGAATAACTGCTTTGATCTTTTTTCACCGAGCAATTAGTTTTTTGAGCTTCTTTAGTGTTATTGTGACGATAAAAGCATGTAACATCCTATACGTCTGCAATTATATAACTGGCGTTAATGGCAATTAAGAGCCTGTTGAGTCCCCCCGAGCTACACAAGTTTATAAAAATATTTACCGAAGTCCTATAAACAGGAGACAACAATGGCAGACACCACTGTTCAGTCGAGATATATTAGGGATATTTGTATCTGTATAACCAGGATTAAATGTTGTTTTCAACAGTCTGGTGAATTTGTTCCGACGTTGACAGAAACTAATCAACATGCATTAAAAGTGTTCGAGCAGGCCTCTACTTATTTGTCTCTGCAAACATAAGCCAAACCTGTAAAAAAGAGGTGAGTGAGATTTTTAAAAGTCCTTGTATAAATCAAATAACATGTATGGCATTTAGGACAATTCAAATTAACGACAATCTGATTTTGTTTTCTGGTTACGTTATAAAGTTTCTACTCTAAAGCTTTTCGGTCTTTTTCGAAGTTCACTGCCTTATTGCCATAAAACCATCTTCCTAATAATTAATGTGGCAAACAAGTATCTTGAGTATTTCAAATTTTGACTTGGATTATTCGTTCTCGGGATAACAAAGCTCAAAAAGTGCCGATGCTATTCTAATCAAGAAAAGCTATGAAAATAAACAATTTTCTATCCTCCATTCAAGCCTTTTCTATTTACTTTTCAGAATATTCAAGGTGTGCCGAAAAACCGTATATATTTGCGAGGACCGGCTAAGTGCATGGTAGGTGGCTTAGTCATTTCAACAGACTACGATCTTTGTAATTCGCTGCTATTTCCTTAATTCATTTAATTTTTCACATTTGACTACCACAAAGTTAGAGGCTATTCCATGGAATTAGTAAAAAGATATTTCTAGCAAGATTTTCCAGACAAATGGCCTTTTTTTCATGATTATTATTTGACGCCAGTTTCCTGAGAATTTTCTAAATTTGTCATATTCTACCATGAAATAAAATATCCAAGTATAAAGATGTTAATGAACACAAGTTTAAAATATTAAACCTAGCTTATACATACGCTTGTTTTACCGTTCGGCCAGTAAATTCTAAATAAGATAAATCTTTAAGTTTTCTAAAATATCTGAACATATCCTAAACCTGATTATTAGACTAATGAATGCCAAAGTCAAGCTGCTGCATGCTCCAATGGTTTATGGGTACTCATGCCTAGATCTCGTTATTTTTTATAGAGTAGGCACTTGGCCACTAATGTTGGACGAAGTTTTTTCATCGAATTAAAGTTGTGGGCTGCAAGCAAAATAAAAAAAATATAGATTACCTTTTTCACGTCTTTTTGAAGTAAATTACTTCCGTCGCAGTGTTTTAGACCCAGACAACGTAATGCATTGCAAAAGTTTAAGCTAGAGGATTAAGTGCCTTTTATAATTAGAAAGTCATTTACGGTACAACATACAGCAATATAGTGGTGTACTGGTCGTACGTAGCATAACAAGCAACAATTTAAAAAATCAGCTACACTAACACATAAATGGCGAATCCAAGTTCAGTAAAGAAACCAATAGTTAAAGCAATCTTAATATTTTCATGACCACTATCTAGCATTTGTGTGTCTCTCATCACTAGTTTAACTCAGGCTTGAATGTCTGAATCCGAATTGAGTCAAAGCCCAAATACGATAGCCTAACAAAAATTAGCAAAATATCTTCACGAAAGTTTGGATATAAAACAAGCATTCCATAATGTTAATGCTTTTATAACGCGTACAAAATTAGCACATCCTTTTATGCAGCATCTAAGCATAAGTTATGAGAGGAATTACATATGTTTTGGAAAAATAAGAACTAAAACAAAATACTCTTCGTCCTTGACATTAATTAAAGTGAATTACTGAAGTAGTTTTGCAAAGACCTGCTGTAAACAATAACTGTATATAAAAATTAAAGACACACTAGAAAATAGGGACCAATTTCCAAAATATTAAAGGACGACTTGGACTTGTAACAATGGAATTTGTGACATCCTAAATAACAAACAAAATTATTTTCCAAGCAAATAACACAAACATGCAGAGTACAATTTTCTGCCATGTAAAAATTAGGAGAACGTAAGGTGTTTGTTGACTTTCAAACAGGGACCCTAGAACAGGAGCTCAATGTCGACTACCAAGCACATGAAAGAAGAAATTAAGAAAGATGCAACTGGAATACTCCAGACTTTTACTTAGAAAAGTAAAAAACATGAGAGTAAGAAAATTGTGAGTGCTGGCACGGGGCAGAGGCAGGCGTAGGGTTTCATTACTATCGGCGAAAACGGATACGGATTAAAATATGCAGGGTAAAAAAAAGAGTACAAGAGCCATTATGAGAAACGTTTCATAGCAGGAATAATGAAATTGGTGGATAAAATAGAATAACGCAGCGAATGTTTCATCAGCAATCTATGTTAAATTCTTTTGATGTCAAAACCCAGTGTCTTATTATTTCGATTCAATTAACTACACAAAACAGGAAAAATCGTTGGCAGGACTTGTCCGATTGCGCAAAAGAAAATAATTCCAAGTCATATTCGATATCAGATTACTGCTTTCGTATTCAAGTTATAACACGTGAACATAACTGGTGGTACTTGAAGGTTTACAAAACTAATAAAATGTGATGTGAGACAAAAAAAATAAGAAGCATAGTTATCAGAGTAGCTAGAACATAAACCTGAAATTTGAAGTAGAATATTTGTAGAAGACCTGGATTTTTCCAGTGGACTTGAGCGTGTTTTACCCAATGTGTAAGGAGATATTTAATGTCTGGGTTAATGTATTTTTTCTCAAAACTGATGGTAGGTTTGAATCATTTTGACACCTTAATTTTTTCAGTATTTCTGATTTGAAACATTTTAAATTTTAAATCATATCCAAATGCCTTCAAGTTCGAATTTTGGCTCACAAGACTATTACGAGTAAACTCTATCACTAGGTGTGTGATTTACCTGAAAATGTCCCATTCTATGTGGTACCACTCTCTGTTCATCATTTGCGCTTACTTATAATGTGGCAAACCGGCCTTTACTCAACGCGCTCTGTTCAAATTTGGTGGACCGTTTGTAATATCGGTGATGGTTTGTTAATCGGAGTTACTTACATAGGTTTTTCTTTGTGAGACGTTCTGGATAGAACCTTGGTAAGTATTTAAGCACACATACCTGATTAATTATGTGAAATGTTTATTGTAAGGTAAATTTAGTGGTTTTAATACATTAGTTTCTGTTATTTTCTCGAATTATTATTAATCACCTTCGCGTGTTGATTATTAAATGATTTAAAGGCTAAAATCTTGTCGTACATGCGTTAAATTTTGTATTCTGGTTTTTTATTTGTTTTCTGAGCTCCGTTCTTTATGATTTCCATTTACTTCTTTTTCAAATATTGCATTTGATCTAACTATTTATCGACCAAATTAATATTCTAGTTTTGACATCAATAGCATAGTTATAAGCATCATTAAATGGACTATGTACCTTTTTCAAGCTGTGATATTAACTTTATCCCCTTAGCAATATTTTTCAAAGTTCTTTTTTTGCAACACCTTCAATGGCCTGACTGAAGCTCTTTGCAGATCAAGATCGGCATGTATCATGTATTCAATCGTGTACCAATACAATTTTTTCAACCGATTTTCATTTTACAGACCCCTAGTAAATGTTACCAAGGGGTCCTTGTTTCGTCTTAATTGGGCCTGAAATTTGCCTAGCGAATCATCACCACTTATAGTCAATATCGACTCTAATTTTTATTTTTGCTTTGAAGCAGTCCGGAGTTTTGTGTCGTAGTCAGTTAGTATCCTTAAGCAATTTGATGACTTGTATCCATAATTATGCAACGGTTTTGTGTCACCCTCTATCCACTGATCTATTTTCCATAATGCTCTAAATTACTAGTTTTGATCTGACTCGTGCCTATAATTATTTATAACATACTTTATTCGTGTTTGCGAGAGGATGGAAAACGGATTGGCCGAGATTCACCTCATCTCCCTACCATCCGAAGTGGCGTCCCTGAAACTTGTCGACACCCCAGGCCACCCTCCTACGAAGCCACAAAAGCCCAATCTCGGCAACCTTTCTGGTAATCGCACACCCAGCCCTGCAAAGAGGTGCCAGGATTTCACATTCATTGACGATGGCGCTGTCTCATCCTCCTCCTCGGCCACGTCAACAAAGGAGCGTGAAAAACCGCGTCACTGTAGCGAAGACATTGAAAACCATCAGTGTAGTAACCGAGGTTCTCATGTCGCCTTGGACAAATGTCCGTCCGAAGTTCAGCAAATTCCTTCTGTGCATGTTCCGGATGCGCGTACACCTTCAGATGTATGTGAGATGACCCCAGCCCCTACTCGTCGCCTTCCTACTGTTGTGGTTTTGGGATATCAGCGCGCCGTTGCTGAGTCTCAGGCTGCTGCTGAGAGATTGCATCAGGAACAACTCCGCCAGGGGGATGGCAAGGCCTCCCTTGACTGTCCTTTGACGTTGAGCATTGGCTCTGGTGGACTAGTTAATCACGGAATATCTCCGTCACCGCACGGTCGAAATAACAGGGTAAATCAGCTAATAATGTGGGCACTAACACATTACCTTCGCTCCTCATGTTCACTGTCTACTAACTCGTTGTTTCTTAAAGCAAGCTCTTGGTGTGGTTTTTATGGTAATTGGCGAAACACTAAGCGTTACCTCTGATGATCTCGTCGCAGTCGATGTTTTTTATTTCGCAGCACCATCGTTTTACAGGCCACTTTTTTTATGAAAGCACATTAATGTCACTCCTTGCGGATGCGTGCACCGTGGACCTAACTTAATTCACATGTGTTCTTTTCCATGGCTGGCCAACTATGTACTATGTTGTCTGCTTACTTTTAGGTAAAATGTTCACCTTCTGAAGATCTCCATATTCTCCCCCAAGTCCTCCAACCACCTCCCCCTCAATCCTCCCCCACACATGACCTCAATTTCCCACCCTCCGCCACTGTTACCTTCTCATCGCCGGCCACCGTTGAGGAGACGAGTTCTGACGAACGCTTACTTGTTGATCAGCCGTCAACCATGGCTGCTCCTTCAAATTCCCCGCTCAGCAGCTCACCGCCCGATGTTGGTCCGCTCTGGCAGGTAGTTGGCACGAGACACGTTGCTGAGGATGCTGAGTCCATCGCTGAATCGGTCTACCACCAACCACCCAAGGCCGCTGACCGTGGGGCTGCGTATCGGTTGGCTAGGCGTCTCTTCACGCTAGACGGTTTCAAAATTACGGATGTAGCCAAGCACCTGTGCAAGCGGTGAGCCTACGTTTCAGTAATACCTACCTATGTCATGCTTCGGTAAAAACGCAAACGTGTTATCCTAAAATTGGCCAGCTCTGTTTCCTGAGTCGTTGTCAATTTTTATATTGTTCTCTTGGGAACAATGTTCCAGCTGTGCTATTTCATGGCCCTTTCATGGTTAAAGGCACGTTTACGCGTACAAACGTATTCGGTGGTGGCATCACACAAATTACTCGTCAACCATCCTGACCCAAGAAATCGGGCCAACGTGTATTTGCATATTCTTAAAGGTCAGACTAATTAGACACAAATGGCCTTCCATCTAACCTCTGGCCTGCTCACTCTGTCACGTGCTTTCGTTCTCGGATTGGTAAAGCCTTGATCAGGTTTGTACCTACACCGTGGACTTGTTTGACCGCTGTTTCCACGTGCCTATTCTGCTCGTTCTGGTTTGTACTCATTGGCCGATTCGCGGTGGGTGTGGCAATTAGTGCAGTGCAGGAATCAGCTAGTCTGGATCGAAATACGCGCGTTATCCAAATTCCTGGGCACAAAAACTAGGTCGTTTTTGGCATTGTGGGGATTTCAAACCACAGCGAAAATCCCGTCTCGACGGTGTTGATTTTTACCGAGTTTTCTGTGGTGTGCGTGTGACGCGCTGGTGAGTGAAGCGAGAGAGGGAGACGGGGTTCCCGCTGGAGACGCTCGTCTCCTGCCTTGCCATGACTCATCGGCGGCACGCGCGCGCACCTTGGAAAGTGTGCCGCCGCCTCCGTCGCCGCGTCATCTTCCGCGAAAAAATACCTTCGTCTGCCGATGTGGCCGAGGAGGCACTCTCTCTCGGCATTCCTGTGATTCGGCAATTCACCGGGTCGCTTTGCGAGTGGCTTATTTTTTGCGAAAAATCAAATCTGCACACCGACGTTTTGTTTATTCACGCAAATAAGGTCTTATTCTAAACTGCAACCGCGAACGTCAACCGTTCTGTGCAAACTCGACCCACTAGCACATTCACTGTGGGCTTGACGATGCCTGTATTACTTCCTGTTGGCCAGAACGCGAATTGACCCCCTCGTCTCTCAATGCTGGTTTGTAAGAATTTACACCTCTGTGGTGTTTTCATTGGGTGCGAGCCACTCTCGTGGACTATGCCATTGCGCAAATCCAAAGCTCTCCTTGAATTTTGTAGATAGTTAACTTGCCAATTCCGTGTGCCTCGTTTCTTTTTCCCACCTCAAGAGAAAGACAACCGCAAGCAACGCGCGCCCCTTTTTCTCGTAGAAATTAAAATTCAGTTACCCCGCGTTTTCGCTCTCTACAATTGCTTCTTAACCCCCCCCCCCCCCAAAAA